CTCCATTTTGTATAAATGAGAAATATGAAAGTTCATTTTATACTAACATGTGAGAGAGCAATGAACAAATATTGGTAATCATAACCATCGTTGCAACCAAATGTGAAAATTCACATTCGTAGGGTCGATTTATAAAAATATATATAACTTTGATTCCTAAACAAGTGATATAAATATTACCTTACAATTGAACTGTTTACATAATTTTATATAATCATTGTTTATTAAAGGGAAACGGGTTAAAAACTGTCATTTGTACATTAATTATAACCAATTGATCTCATAATTTCTTCACTTAATGCATGACTGTTCTGATAGATTTCGTAACTAATTGAATCAAACTTCTCAAGAAATTTTTAATAAGATCAAAGTGAAAAATCTAGTGATTGAGAGGTGTAGAAAAGAAATTCTAAAAACAAAAGCAATCAACTTGAGCTTTGCTTTGTTTATGTAGATGCTGATGAAGCATACAAGATCTTTGATAGTTTGTCTTTTGCTTTTCGAATTTGAACACTAATTTGACATTTTTGATGATCGCTGAGGAGAAACAATGTAGGGAGAAAGTCGGGTTTGGAAAAGTGATTTGGTTTTTTATGATAATATTAGAAGTAGCCAGAGATGACAAGTCGTTGAAAAACCAACTTGACAAAAATTAATTGACAAAAAATGTACAATTTGATAAGAGTTGGCGACTTTAAGGAGCTACTATGTCCAATTAAAATGTTAGTCACTAGCAGTGTACAAATTACATTGTTTATGATTATATATGAGTTTAGATGTTTCTATAAAGTTAAAAAGATAAAGATAGCAACTTCTTACGCCTTGTTCCCGAGTTCAACTTAAGGAGAGAAATGGGAGGATACGGAGGGAATGTGAGGAGTATCGAAGGAAAATCATGTTCCCGAGTTTCATTAATGGAAGGAAAGTAAGGGGAGGGGAAGGATTTTAGAGTCATATTTTCCTTTCAAAATTTCCTCCCAAATTGGGCGAATTTGGGAAGAAAGTGAGGGGAAAGATAATTTTAAGTTGTATTTTCTTTTTCCTTCTAACTCGGGAACACAAAAACTAAAAATTTTATTTTCCTTTCCTTTCATTTCCTTCGAACTCGGGAACACAAAATAGTGAATATTTTCCTTCCCTTCCCTTTCTTTCTGTCAAAATTTTCCCTCCCTTTCCTTTAACGAAGTTACATAAAAACTCGGGAACAAGGCGTTAGGTTTTTTTTTTTTTAAATTAGCCAAAAAAAAATAAGAAAATTATGCAACTATCTTAAAAAATTAGCCAAAAAATAAGAAAATTATGCAACTATCAACCACTTTTCCATGGGCCTGTTTCGAAGTGGGGGAAATTCCAGCGAATTGGTAAAAACGACATAGTTTTGCCATTTCACGGTAGAAATTTCTTGTAAGTATTTATGGAGACGAAAATGATGGTTAAGCAACTTGGCCTTCTACAAATGAGGCAAATTTTTATTTTTAGTAAAAAAAATTAGAAAATACATTTGTTTAAAGCTATTGAGTTTTGTTTTTCAATTTAGAAATAGTAAATTACTGAAATCGTCTATATGGTTTGGTCAAAATTGAATATTTGATTCATATTTTTTTTTTTTTTTTTTTTTTTTTTTTTGCACTCGGCTCATCCCTATGGTTTGATTTTGTTGCATTTTTCGTTACTTGCATACATAAAGTTAGGGACCAAATGTGTAATTTTGACCAAACAACAGGGACGAAAAACGCAACAAAATCAAACCATAAGGATGATCTGAGTGCAAAATAAAATTTAAGAACCAAACGTACAATTTTAATCAAACCATAAAGACAATTTCAGGAATTTATTCATTTAGAAATTATAAAATGTGGTTGGATTACCAATGGGCTATAAGCCCAATGAATCAAATGTTGTCATCTCCTTAAGCTTGATGGTTAAGTTCCCCTATGGTATATAAGCGGATTAACAAATTTGAATATAAAATAAAACAAAATTTTAACATAAGAATCAACATAAAAAAACACATTTCAAATAAAACAACTTTTACGACTTACATGGTATAAGGTTGCAATGTCTCTAACCATGTTGTGTTTACTTTCCCATAACACATCAACAATTAAATCTCTAACTCGAAGCATTTCATGTTGATGGGTCATATCCACATGAAACCCCTCTTGAACAAAGTTCAAATATTCTTCACGGCCTTAAAGATTTTCATCACCATATGTAGTAAATAAATTGTCTACTCTCTCTTCCATCCCATATGTATGTAATTATGCAATGCACAACAACAATACATGATCAACATTTAATATTTCAACGGATAATTTGGTATACCTTGCAAAATGTGAAATCCCTTTTTAAGAACACCGAACACACATTTTATGGCATTCTACACAGATGAATGCATATAGTTGAATGATTCGTATTTTCATCGAACTCCACTAACACGTTGCCAACCAGAACGTAGATACTGCTCACCAATATATGGAGCTAAAAATTCCTTTATATTTGAATACACACTATCAACAACATATAAATAATCTACACACGCACATGAAGTTGAAAGATTTAAGAGAGATCTTAATGGGTTTCCAATCTTCAAAGGAACTGATCAGATAGAAATAGATGAAAAAAAATATATTAGAATATGGTCCTAAGAAGTTAAAAGCAAAAGACCACCGTCTCAGATATGCGCATACCAAGTTTAGTGAATTGATCAACAATACCTCTGTCAAATGTGATTTTATATGTGGAAAAATTATTGCTAATGATATTGTATGCGATGATTATTTTAAGATATGAACTTTGTTAAGCCTAATAATTTTATTAATGTTGGACTTATTATACTAACTAATAAAGTATTGTTATGCAATATACTATAGCAACGAGATAAAATCTTTAAATCATTCAAAAAAGGGTTGCAAGGTTTATTCGCTCTTGAGTCATCATCCTCTATGCTTTTCATGATCCTTCAACTTGTGATCCCCGAACATCACAAGAAGGGTGTAGGATTGAAGACATGTACATAGATAATGGTAGTGTTGGCAACAATATGTTTGATTAAGTCTGAAGATGATGTGTAATTCATAAGGGGACAGAGGTATGAGAAGAATAAGTGTTCTAGAAACTTCTAATACGACTCCCTTTTGGATGTATTGTCAAAATCAATGTTTGCTAGAAAGGAGCAAGATTTAGTAAAAGCAAGACAATATTAGTCAAAGTATGGTGAAATTAGAGGTGACAATCGTGTCGTGTCGTGTCGGGTTCGTGTCGTGTCGAAAGACTAAACGGGTTGGAAGTGATTAACCTTAACCCGACTCGTTTAATTAACGTGTCATGTCGTGTCAACCCATTTATTTTCTTATCGAGTTCGTGCAGGGTTTCATGTTAGGGGTATACCTTGAAATATATCGTGTCATGTGAGGTTAAAAGATTGAACATGTTGAAAGAGTAAGAGTTAGGTAGGCTGAATGGAAAAACAAATAGTTTGGAGGCAGAATAAATGAAGTCATATCAGGTTCAGATGACAAAATTGAAAGAGTGGGAGTTGGGGAGGCAGAAAACAAAGTCATGAGGATAAGAGAGTGGTCAAATGGACTGTGTAGTTTATGAGAGAATGGAAAAACTGAAAATGAAGTCTCGGTCTTAACTATTAAGTCATTTCAACATTACAAAACGACTCAATTTGAAGCTTTTCTTTTACTTATGGTTTTGGTTTTGTATCTTTCTAGTTTATTTAAATAATTCAAAAAACTTACATTTAAATAAGCGAGTCATATTCGAGTTGAAATTCTCAACCCTAACCTTACCCGTTTAATTTTTGTGTCGTATCGTGTCAACCCGTTTATTTAAACGGGTTGAAATATATTACTCAAACCCGTTTATTTCGTGTCGAGTTCGTATCGGGTTTCGTGTCGTGTCAATTTTTGTCACCTCTTAGATGAAATAACAAACTCAATAATAGAAGAATACTTCATTGGTGATTGCATGACTAATTTAGAAGCTATACTAGGTGTTAGTTCTAGATCTTACACCAAAGCATTATCATTCTTTCATAATATTAACCGAACCAAAATCTTCTTAGAGATGAGGAAGCCCCACCCAACCACTGCCAAATCAGTTTTTTTTTCTTCTATCTTTCCTAAATCATAACATATGGAAACCCTATCTTTCCCAATCCATTTCTCATATCATTCTTTTTTATTTAATTAAATTAGAATATAAATTAAAATAAAACATAACATTTTTTTCATTTTTTTTGCTAATTTAAAATAAAAAATTATAAAATAATATTAAAAATAATATTTAATATTCTTTTTTATTTAATTAAATTAGAAAATATAGATTAAATTAAAACATAACATATTTATTTTTTTGTTTTACTAATTTAAAACAAAAAAAATCTAAAATAATATTAAAAATAACATTTAATTATAAAGGCACACTACAAATAAAAAGAAAAACACGATAATTATAAAACACGATAATTAAAAAAATACACTTAGAAAAACAACATAATTTAAATCCTAAAACAACAATTAAAATTAACTAGTTATTATCTAGAGTTGAAATGTAGACATGTTCAATGTGATCAGTAAGATCGAATCGAAGTTGGTGGTGGGTTTCAACATTGCGCAGTTCATATATTATTTCTTGGTCATCAACTTCGTCGGTGGGGGTCGGGCTGATACATAGGAGATATCGCAACACCCTCATCTTTCAATATCATATTGTGTAGTATAATACAAGCGTACATTATATTTTTTGTTTTCTTCACCGTTATAGCTCGTGCAATCATTTTTAATATGTCCCAACATCCTTTAAGGACCCCCAAAAGCACGTTCTACATCATTTCTTGCTGATTCTTGTGCCACCTTGAACCGTATATTTTTGTCGGTTACCGGATATGAATATGCGTTCACAAATACCGCCCATGATGGATATATATCATACGCAAGATAGTTACCATGTTTGTAATGTTCACCATTCAGATAAAATGAACAATCGGGTCATGTGTCATGATATTTCTCATCAAACAATGGTGATTGGTAGAGGACGTTTAAATCATTATTAGAATTGACTATACCATAGATTGCATGCCAAAACCATAAATATTGTGACGTCACCGCTTCTAGTATCATTGAAGGATACTGATAGTCACTCGTCATGTATTGACCTCTCAATTCCGTTGGACAATTCCTCCAATTCCAATGTATACGGTCAATGCTATCAAGCATTCCAGGGAATCCATGTCTAGCTTCATGTGCTTGATACAAAAGTTGAATATCAGTTGATATTGGACGACGTAAATATTCAGCCTAAAACATTTAGACAACACTGTAGCAAAAGTTTTCAAGAGCTTCACGAGAAGTTCTTTCTGACATATTTAGATACTCATCTAACGAGTCTAGGTTATAACCATTCGCTGATTGACATATTGATGATGTGTATTTTTGTAGCGTACTGAAACTTCTTTGATTTGTTGCATCCCATGTTGTTTGAAAATAAAGATAATTTGTCTCCAGGTCACCAACAAGTCACATAAACAAACCTTTGCTCATACGAAAGCTTCTACGGAATTGCACGTGACCATAGGTTGAATCATCTGCATAATAATGTCGGATCAACAGTCGTTGAGCCTCTAAACGATCCGGATTGTGTTTCTCCTTTGAATGTTGCTTGAACTAGCATTATTCTGAAGAAGTTGTGTAGTACGAGACAATACAAGCAACAAATTATTGTTGATAAGTCATCATCAGATGATAACTATCATCATTAACTTCCATTACTATTTTTCGAATATTTGGATTCATTTTGACAAAAAAGGAAAGATAGATAGAAAATGAAACAAACATATATACATACACACACACACACGCACACACACACACACACATATATATATATATATATATATATATATATATATATATATATATATATATAATCCGGTAAGAAAATTTTTTTGGTAGGAAGGTAAGAAATTTTTTTTTGTCTTATTTTTTTGGCGAACAAAATAAATGAATCATTAGATGAATCAATAATAACATGATTCACAAAAAAAAATCCCGAAAAAATATTTCGATGATTCATTTTTACGATGATTTTGTTAATATTCACTAAAATTGTCATAAAATGAATTTTTTTTTATTTACCTAAAAATGAATAATAAAAGTGTTTTTTCAGGATTTTTTTTTTCTTGTGTATCATCTTACTTTTGAATCATCTAATGATTAACATCATTTTTTTCCTAAGAAAATATGTGTATAAAAAATTTCTTACCTTCTTACCAAAAAATTCCTTCTTATTTGATCTTGACTCTCTCTCTCTCTCTCTCTCTCTCTCTCTCTATATATATATATATATATATATATATATATATATATAATGAAACAAGCATAACTATATATAGATAATGGAACAAGGATACATATATAGAGAATCTTAATAAAAATAAAAATAATAAACATAATAATAAAGAGAAAGATTCTCCGGTCAAATGATGTTAATATTTTGAACTTCACGGGTTCTCCAACTTCAAACCATACTTAGTTGCAATTTGTTGTTTCCTTTCAAGCACCATGCGCAAAATACGTTCAATCAAATGATCATGCGGCTGGAGAAAATACTCCATATCTTGGTTCTCTATCTCTCGATCCAACAATTGAGATTTTCATTCTTCATCAGCTTCGAGAATGAGCAATTTTTGTTCCCGGTACCGTTGTCTCTGTTCCGCCTTTGTTTCGGTTGCAGTCTTGATGCTGGCTATTTGTTTGACAAGATCAAATTTTCATTTTCTGATGATGATGTTGATACCACTTTCTTTCCTTTTCTTTTTCTCTGAGGCGGTGAGTCTTCAACACTAAACGACTGTTTTGGGGGGGGGGGGTCCATGAGGATATTGTGGATCCGATGATGATGTGTAGGCGTTGGATGAAGATGCTATTGTTTGTTTTGAAGAAGGGGGTGGGAAGTCTTCACCCGCTTTTGTAACAAATGCCCATTTCGCATTGTCTTTCAACCACTCCCAAACTTGTTGATGAGGAAAATCTTTTTGGTTAATAGTCCTCCGATACTCTCGCTTTGTGAAGATTGTAAAACATCAACCTCAGATCTCCCGCTAGCAACACTGTTCATCTTACGGTTATAGATGCCTTTGAAAACATTACATTTCTTTTAGAGGTCTTTCCATTTTAAGTTTACTTAGTGTCGTGATCGATCTGAACCTCCCATTTGAACACTAAAATGCTCTAGAACCCTCTCCCAAAATGTATTGAACCTTTGTTGATTTCCGTATTGTTTATCTTTAGAAACATCAACATATACCCTAGCGAAAGCCAACTCTTCGCGTTCCACCCAATTCTTCCTCTTCTGGCGGTGTGTATAGTTGCGTTTTTTCTCAGCAACTCCTCACTGGTTTCTTCTTCGTTTATTTTGGGAGTCGGGTCGTCACTAGAACTGTTAGATTCTTCATTCTCAGCATCACGAAACTGGAAATTCTCGGGTTGAGAAAATTAGCATTAGGTTTCTGGAACCCTTTGAGAAAATTGATTTCATGGATTATAACTCTGATTTTCTTTTGGAAGCCTAAATGTGTTGTAAGATTGTTGCACCAAAAAAATATTGTTGTTGGTAGTTTTGGTTTTGTTGATAGTTTTTGTAGTTTTGATATTGCTGATAGTTTAGATTTTGAAAATCTTGAGAAAATTGGAATATCTTGACTTGAACCTCCTTGTGTGGCTTTGTGTCTTTGGCTAGAACCGATTTGTGTATCTTTGACTCAAGAATCCATTGAATCCATTGAATGTAACCGAAGAAATTGAACCGATTTGTATAAAATTTCCAAACAAAACACACTACAAATAAGTGAATTGTGTTTTTATAAATTTAATATTGCATGGAATCTTATACAGTGAATTTTTTTTTAAAAAAAATAAAAACCTCATGGATTGGTCAAAAGAGGCAAAGTAATTTATAACAATTAAATGAGGAAAATGTGCAGTAATCTTTATTAATATTAAATGAGAAAATGGACAATTCAATATAAGTATTAAAATAAACGATAAATTTATTTATTTATTTTAGAAAATATAAAATAAAATAAAACATAACCCTTTTTCATTTAAAAATAAATGAATGAATTGTGTATTTTTCTTAATGTAATATGGAAAAACACTACAAAACCATAAATTAAATAAATTTATAAAACAAAAAATAAATAAATAATAAAAAAGAAATCATATTATTAATGTAGTCAAAGTCAAAGTCACTCTAAAATCATGCATTCAAGAGTGTAAGTGTGCAAGGACTCTTCTTTAAATGGCTGAAAAGGTACATACATGCATAAAGCATATAATTGTTCAAGAAGAACAAAACAATTCTGCCGCCTAGACACCGGTTCACCAACCCACTTAAAGACAATGAAATCGCTGAACCCATGGCCTGCATTATCGTTTCCCGGCGGTACCCCTGGTCCTGCCCTTACCTTTTCCGACGACTCCGTCCGACCTTAAAGATGTCTTAGAATATGAGGAAAGATTGGCTTGATAGTTTCGATAAATAGTTATATTATAATTTAGGGATGTCATATGAAACTTTATACCACTTATTGCACTAGTTTATGTGGTGTTTGAATTTGGTGTATTTTATGTATTATGTATGAACTTCATATGTTATTTTACTTGACGAAAATTAAATATTAATGATTTATTTCGCAGATGAAGTGTTATAATGTCATATTCTTCATATAGTAGCTCTTAATCAAAGGACGATGAGTTAGATGTTATGGTCATGTTTTGCTTTCTTAGCTGTGCATAATTACATGCAGATGGAAGATAGATAGATAGATCTTTGCTTTCTGTTTTTGCACCTGCTGTAACATTTAGAATTACTTTTGCTTAAAAAGGTTGTATGAAAGTATAAAAAATATATATAAAAGAGTTTAGAATTGTTGTAAAAAATTGTAGAAAAAAGTTCATATAAGGTAATTAGCAATTCAAATGTATAGACTTCCAAATATTTAAAGCCAAAGCAATAATACTTGAGAAGATACGAAAGTGATTAAATAGAGAAAAATCACAACAATGAAGCAAAATTCAAACTTAATATACCTAAACCTTTTTTTAAAAAGTTGAAGTGACCTACTCAGGTGTAACATCTGGTTACCATTTAGCATAAATCACCCAACTTTTAATGCAAATGGCCAAATTATAAGTGTTGGAATTTAAAAACTGAAAATATTCACAAATTCATTTCACTATCAATTGTCTAACACTTAATCCACCTAATTCAAGGAAAAGCCAACAAAGCCATAAGAAGAAGGCAAGGCATATAACTTAAAAATAATGTATACTGTAAATAGCCGTTAAAGGCCTTAATTGGTACCAGGGTCAAGCACAGGAAGACGACAATGGAGACTGATAGATTTATCTGTTTGACGGGTACCTGGTATGAAAAACTGGAACACCACTGTCAAGCAAGAACCCTGTTCCCCAATCCCATAGAAAGCAGAATCTGGTTTCGCCAAGTGACATTGAAGAGACTTGAAGAAATGTTTCACGCTTACTTGAACATTCAACGCATCCCCCCTCTCAATTGCCCTCCGCGAACGTGTCTGAGCACTCAGATTATCATCTCCGGCTGGAACCGCCGCCTGCTCTCCGATGACCACCAGTTTCCTGAACTCTGCTCCAAGTGTGACCAAAGTAGTCGAGATTTGCAAATGGAGGTCGCCGGATTTGCTTATGGAAACATTTAGCACATCACCGACATTCTTCATCCGATCCACAAAGTTTTGTAGTTGATTCATGTCAGGAACTTGAACTAGGGTTTGAGGCAGATCTTGCGCCATGTCTAGCGCGGCTTGGAGTTCGAGAACATCAGATCTGGATAACGGTTTGGAGATCGGAACGTCTTGGATAACAGCGGATTTGTAGCCCTTGGTTTCGAAAGTGAGAAACGGCATCGGTTGCTGTGAATGAGGAGGTAGTTTCTTTACTAACTTGATTTGAAGGCGATTGACAGTAGGGCAACTGTGGGAACCTCCAAATTCTGTGTAAATGGTGACGATGCTGCGGAGGGCCCGGTGGAGGAGCGAGAGGTCGATGGTGAAGGCGATGCGATCGTCGTTTTGGCTTGAGATTCGATAGTCTTCGAAAAGGGCTTCTTTTCGGAACTGAGCAATTGATTGGATTCCATCTCCGTTGAGAAGATTGTGGAGGAAAATAGCGTGATCTTTCGTTAGGTAAAGATGGCATGTCTTCCCCATTTTGTCTAGGGCTTGAAGGAATCTCTTCTCCAGAAGGTTAACTCCATGATCGGTGAGAAATGCCTTGAACTTCATTTCACACTTCAGTAATGATTCTTTGATGGATATGAGTTAGAGATAGAGAGAGACAGAGTACCTTTAGCTTGACGAGACCAAAAATGGCGATGAGAGATTGGAGGGAAAATGTCCCGCGTCCTACTGGAGAGAAAAAAGAAATGTTAAAAACTTTCCGGTATGCCAATTTACACCCTCAATGTTTAGAAATTTACACTTAAGACCTCGTTTCTTATACCCTATAAACCTTCCGTTTGGTGTCACCATATGGCCAAGAAAAAGTAAACGGAATATTCCACAACGTTGACTAGAAAACAGTAGTCAACTATATATGTGTATATATTTTCAATCCAGATGGGACGAATTATTACAATATGTACATGTACATGCAAATGTAAAAAGTCCCATGAATCGAACATTTTATACCAAGCATAAGCGAATAGAAAGTAAATATGCACAAGAATGGGCAAAAACACCCCTCAACCAAAAAAAAAAAAAACCAACATAAATTCTATTCATGTTTATCTTCAATATTATGAACTCTACTTAAACACTCTCCAAATGTCTCCAAAGCAACCTTATAATGATCCAAAGAAATAACACCTTCCTCCACTACTTGCAACGCGCTTCTATACAACTGAGTAAACCCTTGCACAGCATCAGTACCAGTAACAGTATTACATCCAGCAGCATCATAATCCGGAACATATAAACGTTTATAGTCCCTCTTCCATCTCGATAAAATATACTTGGAAGGAATCTCCTCGACCCCATTAAAATTAAGCACACATAAAGCATGCCTACATAAATAACCATTAAAATTAAAACAACTGCAAATACATCGAACATCAACCGCTCCTCTATTATACAAAACCTCGTAATCCTTAATCTCCCGCCGACTTCCATCCACCAAAACACGCTCTTTCACCAAAAAAATTACAACCGCGCCATCAACATGCACTTGTGTGGTACTAAAACACGAATACATCTCCTCAACTTCCACTTGAAATTTCTTAAAAATTTCCCTCGTGTAAATCTTCGATAACTGCAACTCAAACGAACATCTCGTTTTTAAAACCGGGGACACATTTCTCGATTCCATGTCAGCGTTTGCTTCTTCTTTGTGCTTTTTTTGTAGCGCGAGTTCGTATTTATCGAGAAATTCTTTTAGCGGCGTTTGTTTGTGAATGTATTTATCAAATACAGGACACAGCGTGTCGCCAGAAGATATTCCGGCGAACGATGTGTCCTTTAGATATACCGGGGCCCACCAGGCCCGATCTTCGTATAAAGATCGGAGCCATTCGTGGTCCCCGATTCCAAACCGTTGGATCATGAAACCCCACGAGGTTTCAAAATCATACGGTTTTAACGTCTCGTAAGCGGTTTTCATCAATACTTTTTTAATAGCATCGTAGTTTCTTAACCCCCCTAATTTTTCCGGAACTTTCTTCATGATGTGAAGCAGACTAAACCGGTGGTGGGTTTTCGGGAACACCTCGGAAACAACACTTTGTAAAACCCGACACCGGTCGGTCACTATTGTTTGTGGGACCCGTCCCGATGTGGTGGTCAAAGTCAACCATGCTTTCAAAACCCATGAAAAAGACTCTTTTGTCCCTCCCGAAAGCAACCCGCAACCTAGCAACACCGTTTGACAATGATGATTCATTCCGACAAATGTCACGAGCGGGACCTCGTACTTACTCGACAAGTAACTCGTGTCGAAATAAACCACATCGGAAAAATACCCAATCGCAGCGCGACACGTGGCGTCTAACCAAATCATGTTCCTTAAACGCCCTTCGTCGTTAACATCCATCAAGTAAAAGAAATTAGGGTTTGTCAACTGCATCCGACAGATGTAATTATAAATCGCTTGCGAATCGCCTTTCTTTAAATTCAATCGATCCGGATGAAAATCAGGTACGGGCCCCGATCCCGATCCCAATTCCCGACCCGTTTCATGTGAAATTCCGTTATTACCCCCGGAGTCAATCACAAGCGCACGATATAATTTTACTGTTTGCGTTTGCCCTTCGGAATCTGATTGAATAGTATTTTTTGTTCCACAAATGCCGGATTTCTTGAAGGATTTGAAAGATTTGGTGCCAAGTAAATGGTTATGATCGAGGGTAACTTCGAGAATTCGCCACCTTCTGGAATCTACTAATCTCATTCTGACCATTGCTGGACAACCGGTTCTTGTTTCTTTTCTTAAACGATTGACATCTTTTATTCTTTTAAAGCCTTGACTACTACAACATAAAACTGCTCCATATTTTTCTCTGCTATTTCTTTTAAACCATGAGTTTTTTACACGTACGCGAAATCCTGCTTCTCGAGCATAACAATTGTAGTAATTGTATGCGTCATCGTAGGATTCGAATTCCATTCCTACACATGGGGCAACGAATTCCTTTTTCCCATTTTCGGATTCCAATTCCGGTTTTTCACTGTTTTGATGCTTGCTATTAGGAGAGACTTGTTCCATCTGGAAATCAAAAAAAAGTATCGTTATATCCGGATATATTTACTTTTATACTTTCCCTTGTCGTTTTAATGATTTAGGTAGTGTTTGGTATGATGGAATCGGAATCGTCGATTCCATTGGAATTGGAATGAAAAATATTCTTGAAAGAATGTGATTCCATCCCTTCTGTTTTTTTTTTTTAATTTTAACATGGAATGGATGAGGTTTTGTAATATAATTAATTCCATCACCTTGCTTTTTTCAATTACTCTGTCTATTCCATTCCTATTCCGTTCCTTCAAACCTAACAAATCCTAATTTTAAGTTGATAAGCTATCGAATGGAGACTATAAATTTATATCTAAAAGCAAGTTACAGAATTATAGAATTGGGAATCTAGAATCACAGTATGAACAAAAAAGATAAGGAGTCTTTGAAGTATAAGAATATGTCACCTGAATTAAGTCTAAATGCTTCATCAGTTGACTAATTGGATAGTCAACACTGATAAGGAATGCAGTGTCTGTGGCAGGATAAATCCTTGTGAAGCTTCCCAATAATTACCTATACGTAAATCTAGTGTTATATATGATATAATAAAATATTAGATACATATATACAATGTAATACATAATATAAACAAATAATAAACAACTTATTCTCAATTCAGTTCATCTCTCATCTTCCATTTCTGCAAACCCCAAGCATCATTTTACATTCCTTCTAGGGTTCAATACTTTTTAATTTTTATGCATACAAAGTTGATCGTTTGCTAGAGTTTTCTTGTTCTTGATCATAGTTTTCCTTTAACTATGATCTGTCTTCAAACTATAATCTTTCAATTAATGATAGAAAATCGGCATGATGCAAGTATAAAAGATGATAGAATCAAAGAGAGATCGAGCCAGGTTTCTTGTTTTTGAAGATGGTTTTGATCTAAATTATGATAATGTTCTTGAAAGTGGTATTGTACATGCCTTTTCCCACATAGTCTAATCCTTAAAAAGAGAACCAAAAAGAGTATTGCAGTTTGTCTCTTCCTCTCTTTCTCTTTTTCTATTTTGAGATTAATGGAGTCTTTTACTTTTTGGTTTTGAAGGGAATAGGAATCGTGCAACAAAATATCAAGTAGTAACAACTAAGAATTAACAGCAAACAAATCGATTTTCAACAAATCCTAACTCAACTAAACATTCCCACGATTAACAATAACAAATAGATAACAGATAACTAAGTATTAGCAATTACTAAACAACAAATTACAATTCATATCAAAAATACCTCAATTAAGAGGCAGCAGGCGGAGCAGGGCGGCGGGCGGAGCCGGCGAGGCGCAGAGAGAGAACCGGCAAGGTATCATCACTGGCCGAACATGTACAGAACCCACGTCACTGACATCAACCCGATATGGGATCAATTTCCATGTCGTTCATCAACAAATTTCCTTCGTATACAAGATCGAAAGTGAATGAAGAATTAGTCCACTCAGTCTGAAACCGCCAAACTGACAACAGTGGAGATGAGGCTGATACCTTCAGGTTCTGGTAAAGAAAAAAGCTATGTAATGATTGAATGTTCTAATTTTGAAAATCCGTGCCCTTCGGTTTTATGATTTTCAGAATTAGGGGTTTTGCTTTGCACAATTGGAGCCCTAGCTTTCCATGGCCAATTGATGGTTACCTAATAATACTAAAAAAATAATGAGGGGTTTGCAAAATGCAAATTTTGTAACTTAGGGGTTTTTGGATAGCTTTCTAAACTAAAAACAATTTTTTTTTTTACTAAAAGATATTTTAAAATGTGTTTGTATAAAATTTTAAAATATGAAAAAAGAAATTGCTCGAAATCACAGATTTGTAACTTCTTAATCTCTTCTTTTTTCTTTCTTAAAAAGCTAATTTAAAACGTCTTTTAAAGTTATCAAACAATTTTTTTAAATTTTAATTTTTTTGAAAAAACCAAAAATCACAAAAATCATTTAAAAATGAAAGTCAAACACCCTCTTATATTTTATAGATGTTAGCTTTGCGTACAAGATCACATTAAAATCTTATTGATAAAGATACAAAAATGGTCTCTTTGGTATGCATTTTTTTTTAGGTTTAGTTCAAACATCGACTCTTTTGGCTTTGTGGTCATTTTGAGCTAAATTCGTTGCAAATTTTGTCTCTCAGTAAATTGAAATGACTGTAATACCCTTTGGGTATTTATTTTTCATTTTTCTTTCAGATTTTCATATAAAATTTATTTATTTATTTTAATAATTAAAAAAAGGACTCCTCTCTCTCTCTCTCTCTCTCTCTCTCTCTCTCTCTCTCTCTCTCTCTCTCTCTCCAAACATCACCATCTTCTTATTGCCTTCACAAGATCACCATCATCACGATACTCACTGTGTTCCAACCACCTTCATGATCAAGAAGTAAAAAAGTAATGGAAGGGCAAATGTAGTAAGCAACATATTACCCCCGTCCTAGACACCATTGAATTATCATAACAGCCATGACAGTTGAAGCTTTCACCATTAAATTTCTCAATAAGGTTTCCTTTTTTGCCCTTTGAATCCCAATACAAAGAACACCATTTTCAGCTTTAAGAAACACAATCGAATCTGATGAACATAGTGATGGCGGAATGGTGGTGTTTCTAGGTATCAACACCTGAACTTTTTCATTTCTGACGAACATAAGCCATGACAGTTGAATCTCAACAGATCGTAAAGTGTTTCGTTTCCTTTGCCGCTCAAAATGGCTACTTGAACTGCATCTTCATAAGCCACCACAAGTGTCCTGAAACCATATCAGGGGGCCGAAGGTGGCGGCGGCTAGAACATTCTGCAACTTCATGTCTTGACTTCTTAGTTGTGATTTCAATCATGTAAGTTGATGTTTGCTTTCAATTTTTATGTAGTGAATTTGATTTTGTTTGAATCGAATGTTTGATTCTAATTGTGATTCTTATTGGTCATTTGAATTAGGGTTAGGTCATTCAAGTTATCTAATTGCAAAATTTGTAATTGTTTTGTAAATTGGACTAGGTAACAAGCACCAAACTGATTTTTATCGAATGAATTTAGTGTAAATCTTATTCACACATTCTTACACTCCCGAGCTTGTGAGAAGTATTGGATGTTGTTGGTAATATTCACATAAATCCTATGGCAACCTTCTGATTTCTATCTAAGAGCTTGTTTAGACTTAAATTAGAAGGTTATGTTATTTTCAAAGAGCTTGTTTTGATTTTGACAATTTGGTGAATAGGAAGTGTTAGAGTTTGTTAACACTTTCAAGTACCAACTTAGGTAGAATTTAGTAGATATTATATCATCCTTGGAATCGCATTGCTAAATTGTATTGCATAGAATTGGAGTTCTCACAAATCTTGAATTTATTTCATTTAATTGATCATTTACTTATAGCTTTAATTTCTTATTTAAATCATTACACCCCCCTCTTTCTATGATTATTATTGTACCTTGCGCAAAAAGGTATAAACATTTGTCCCGTGTCTCTATGGATTGACCCTGCTTACCTTGCATTAGATTTTTAGTGCAAAGTAACAGTGTTTTTGGAGTCATTTTGTACCCCTTTATTTGTTGGGCTTGACACTCCTAACAAATTGGCGCCATTGTCGGGGACATGGTGTTACTAATTGTTTATGCATAGATTTTTTCATACAGGTACACCATTGCCAATTGACACAGAGATAGAGAAGACTACAAAGAGGTTACGGAAGCAAGCCAAGATTCATAAGAGACAACCAGGTTCTGGGTCTTCTTCATCACCTACCCCTCCAGTCATTAACATTTAGGAGGATAGACCCCTCTCAAGTGTATCCGCATCCGAAACAGAAACTCTCTCACTCTCACCTCAACCATCATCACCAAGAAGTACCACTCCACCATTTTCACCTACTCATAACATCCCAAACTTCACACCCTTAGAAACCTTAATTCTTACTCACACAATAGGAGATAACTATGGAGGGAATCAAGGTCCTCCAAATCCACCACCCGAGAAAACCCTTCACCAATGGGAGAGTCAAGAGGTTACTTAACAACCTCTTTGCGACACTTATCCAGCAGCTACTGACCTTGAACTAAAGTCCGGACTCATTCGCTTACTCCCAACCTTTATAGGCCTTAAAAATGAAGATCCTCAATAAATTCCATGTTGTGTGTGTCAACATGAAACCACACAATGTCACGGAGGATCAAATCAAGCTTAGGGCATTACCCTTCGCATTGCAAGATGCAACAAAAGACTGGCTCTATGACCTCCCACTGGAGATGATCACTACTTGGGTAGATCTTGCACGCCTTTTCTTGGACAAATACTTCCCAGAAATGAAAGCTTCAAACCTACAGAGGGAAATCATTGGAATCAAGCAACATAAGAGAGAATCCTTCCACACATATTAGGAGAGATTTAAAAAGTTATGTGCCCATTGTCCAAAGCATGGAATTACTAAATACCATATCCTTTAATATTTTATTAAAGGAATGACTCTAATGGAAAGAAGATTGCTCAATGCCTCAAATGACAGGTCTTTACCCTACAAGACTCCAACTGAAATTTGTAACCTAATCAAGAACATGGCTGAAGACTGAGCATTCGATTCATGATGAAGAATGGTACCTGGATGCACCCCAATGTATAAAAGAAGTCCAAACTCCTCAAATTGAAGATCAATTGTCCGAACTTACAAAAGTGGCAATGATTCTAGCTAAAGATAAAGGTGTGCATCCCACACCCCATCCTTTGTGGTATTTGCACTCAAGTGGGGAAGCCAACCGACATGTGTCCTCAACTTCAAGAGGAGGATTATAAAGAAGCAAGAGTCTAGGAGGGTATTTCGGGTTAAATTAAAGAGGATACGAGCAGCCACAGGGTGACCAAACATAGAGCAACAATCAAGGTTGGGGAGGAAATCAACATCGGAGTTATCAACAAAAACCATCATTTCCTCAACATCAACAAAGGCCGCCTTTTCAACCTCAAAATTTCCAGCCAAGGCAGCCGCAACAACAACCTCAACAAATGGGTTCATCAAGCATGTCTTTAGAGGATATTGTCAAAAGCCTTGCCACTAGCACTCAAAGCTTTCAACAAGAAACCAAGGCTAGTATAAAAGGTTTGGAGCTACAAATGGCACAACTTTCTCAATCCATGAGCAAAATGGAATCACAAGGAAAACTACCATCTCAAATCGAGAAGAAACTAAAATACAATGCATGTGCCATTACCTTAAGAGGTGGAAAAGTTATGATGGACCAAGAAGGCCAAATGAAGAAGAGGAAGAAAAGGGAAATTAAAGTGGAGGAAGTTGTCAAAAAGAATGAAAAGAATGATACTTCAAAGCCAAAGAAGCCAATCGACATCGAAGTAAAAGTCACACCAGCCCCATTCCTGTCAAGGCTAACAAGCACAAAAAGAGAATAGGAAGATGACGAGATAATGAAAATGTTCCAAAAGGTTGAAATAAACATCCTTCTTTTAGATGCCATCACACAAATTCTTAGATATGCTAAGTTCATTGAGGAACTTTGCACATCTAAGAAAAAGCTCAAAGGAAATCAAATGGTGAAAGTATGAGAAAACATGTCCGCCGTGTTACAAAAATGACTACCAAATAAATGCAAGGACCCGGGTGTATTCAAGGTTCTTTGTAAAATGGGTAACCTTTTTGTGCCACGTGTCATGTTAGATCTTGGGGCATCAATTAATGTTTTACATTATTCAAGTTATAAAACAATGGGAATTGGACCTTTAACAAATACCAGAGTCATAATTCAACTTGCGACCGATCTTTAGTACACCCAAAAGGTGTATTGGAGGACGTGTTAGTGCAAGTCAATGAACTTGTATTTCATGTTGATTTTTATGTCTTGGATATAGGTGATGACAACACCCCACAATCAAGTTCCATACTTTTAGGGAGACCCTTCATGAGTACCGCAAAAACAAAAATAGATGTAGCAAATGGTACTTTGTTTATGGAGTTCGATGGTGAGGTGATCAACTTTAATATCTTTAAAGCCATGTGTTATCCTAGTGATATTCATTCCTTAAACTTCATAGATGTTATTGATTCATGTACCGATGATTGTTTTTAATTGTCAAGCCAGAATGTGATAACCACCATCTTGAGCAAGCATTTTGATGAGACAAGGATCAAGAGCCTAGTTGAGAAGTATAATTTGGAGGATGAGTTAATTGAAGCAATCAACTCTTTGGAAAAGTGAAACCTATGAGAGTTGAACCAACCCACATGAAGCTCAAAGATTCTGATCCAAAACTCCTTCATTCCATAGTACAACCACCGATTCTTGACTTGAAGACTCTTCCTAATAATCTCAAGTATGTTTATCTTAGAGAGGAATAGACATTGTCAGTAATAATTTCAACCAAGTTATCAAAAGAAGAAGAAAAAGAGATGGTTGGAATTTCGAAAAAGCTCAAGGAATAGACATCGTCAGTAATAATCTCAAGTATGTGGTGCGGCTGGAACCGGTGCGGTAACAGCATTAACCGCCACTGTCTGCTGCTTCTTGGAGGTGTCGGGTCCCTGGCGCCCCTTCCTCTTATTGTTCTTTCCCTTCTTGCCATCACCTTCCTTCGTCTTCTCAGTCTCCACTGGCTTCTCTCCCTTCTTGTTGTTATGGTCATACAGCTTCTTTGCCAATCTTTTCGCACTGTCAAATGTTTCGGGGTT